CTGGGCCTTGTTGGGCAATGGGGCCCTGATAGGCTGACAGCAATGCCAAAGTCTGACTGTGCAGTCAAAATGACATAGGTTCTGCTTAAGAAACGCCCTGGTGACTCTGAATTCAGGGAAAAGTCAGAAGACCTAGAGTTTAGACTGCAGAAAAGATGACTGAGGGGAATCTGATAACAGTTGTCTAATACCTCAAGGCAGCTCCTAAACAGGGTGGTGACAAACTGTTTTCTGTGACTACAGGGGACAGGATAAGAAGCAATAACCTTACATTTGAAACTAGGGAGATTTACCTTGGATATTAGCAATAACTTTCTAACTAGGGACATGGTTCAGCCCTGGGACAGGTTACCTGAAAGAGGTTCTAAAATTTCTACCATGGGAAGTTTTTAAGTGCAAGCTAAATAACACCTGGATGAGATGTTTTAGACTGGGATGATCCTGCCTTCAGCAGGGGCTGGGACTAGATGACCTCCTGAGTCCCACTTCCAGGAATATTTTCCTACCGTTCTGTGACTGCTTATGTCACCCAATTCTCCCACTTAACATATAAGAGCTAGATATCATTTCAAGCTGTGGTCTTGTTCTCGTGTGATGTGTGGGGGTAGCTAAATGGAGATGTCAGTACTGCCTTTGGCCCATAAGAGAGAGTACCATGCAAAGCTTCCCAGTGATAAAGGCGAGGTACTGACACGCTGCACAAAGGAGACCAGTTTCCACCAGCTAGGCAGATGGGAACTTAGGGCCCCAACATATACCTAGAAGCAGCAGCAACAAAGCCCCTTACCTCACTGCTGTAAATGTTTCATGTCGGGGCAGAGAATCCAGCCAGGAATGAGGTGAAGACCTTGGAAAGAAGTGGGGCAGGATGGTGCTATTGTCTCGCAGTGCATCATGCTTCATGATGCATCTGGTCTAGGGCATTACAAACACCCTGGATATAGGTAATGGATAGATGATCTCTTCACCCACAGAGATTGTGCCTCTGCATGGCTGCAGCAGGAAAGGGTGTCCATCCTGACAAGTGACTGCCATAATGCTGCTGCTACTGGCCTATCTGACCTAAGTTTTACACTCCAGGATTGTACAGCAAAAGTAAGAACCATCACTAAAACCACTGCTATAATAAGTGCAGTAATATATAGTTACTGAGATAGGTAGTACTAGGTGGAGGGAAGCAAGGGTTACTTCTATGATTTCAGTAGTGAGAGAACTCCTTGTCCCCAGTCTCAAGGCTGCTCCAATGCTAGGTTGGCTTCTGCAACTCTTCTGGTGGTCAGAGCCATATTCCCCACTCCATTTTGGGCACGTACAATAAGCCAGTTCAATGCTGTGCAGAATAAATAACATCCAGCCCTATATAAAAGTGACTGGGTTGACTTCTATGGACAGTGACTTGAAATGTCAACTCTGTAACTTTAAATGTCAAACTTGTTGTTTGATAAGTTTGATTCTTTTATAAATAAAGTTATAAAAAGGGGGACTGGGTTAACTGTAAGACAGAAAACAGGCATGAGGGAGATAATTGCTTTTTCCCTGAGGTCAGAAATTAATTTGGGAACCTTGGGAATATGTCTGAAGTTGGTAACAGAACTAGAAGCTACCTGGCAGAAACAATGAAATAGGGTGCTGCTATATTAATTGCAAATAGGGTGCTGCTATATTCTGAAAAGTTATGGAGGGGTGCCTTGAGCCTAAAAATGTCGAGAACCATGTTTCTGGATTCAGCCAGACCTCCTGGATAGACTTTATTTTTTATGGACAACTCTGCTTCTCGTGGTATCCATCTTTCTTCTCTCTAGTCTCCTAACTATGTTAGAAGCTTTCTGATGCCCTTGCAGCATCAGGCAACTGTAAACTGCTTACAACAGGGTAGTTTCCACACTGCTTTCTGTATGGTCATATTGGCCGACATAGCAAAACTGGATATAAACTAACCACATGGTTATCTTGTACCTGCATTCTGTGCACTGTGCCGTGATGCCTGCACTGTCAGCAGGTGGAAGAGGGTCCAGATGGAGCAGGAATATCCTCGGTAGCGAGGTTCACTGCCCTGGCAACCCACCCACGTCACATCGTTTGTCAGCACTGCTGGATTTGGAGGCTGATGGGGAAACAGACTGGGGTGAATTTACAGAAAACAACTCCAGTGAAAAACTGAGGGAAGAAGGGAAGCAAAAGTAGAAAGTTGAACCCCAGTGAGGGGATTCAGACAACCAAATACACCCTATGTCCCTCCTTACAGTGCAGAAGGGAAACACTCTCTAAGTGTCTTACATCTTTTTTATTCTTCAAGGCTTTCTCCAAGGCTCTGTGGGAAATGTTTGGTTCCTTCACCTCCTTCAGCCAGTTGTCCAAAGAGTGCAAGAAATTATTGACAAAGGGACGTCCAGGAAAGTACTATAGCAAAAACAGAGAGGAGGAAATACAGTGAGTGACAAGTTTCAACCCTGGTCATGCCTGAGGAACACAGATGCTGTGGAGACTCTTGGCTCTGGTTCCAGAAAGAGTCTGGAGAAGTTACAGCTTTGTGGGCAACGTAAAACAAATGATCATGTAGCAACACAGTCCATGCCCTAGCTTTGCCATAAACGCTCTCTGTAAATGAGACACTGCTTGTAAGGAAGTCAGCTATGACAGGCCCAGTCACTACCAGAATGGGAATGGTAAGAGAACACTGGCTGTGGGGGAGCGCACAGCTACTCACGGCCCCAGCTGGTTATAAAGGACCCTTTTCACCAGGATCCAAGAGGCTAGTGTTGGGAAGTCTCTTCATCTGTATTCAGGGTGCTTCCCATATGAACAAATCAACCCTCAGGCCAAGAGCCAAGATCCAAATCTTGATCACAGCTCCAGATCATCTCCAAGGAACACAGAAAGCTACTTTGACAATAAGCCAGCTAAAATCCAATTAGTATCTGCACTTTAAAACCACAAGCATTCTAGGGACTGGAGAAGTGAGTGACACACACATCACACAAGCAGAAAGAGAGGCCTACATCACAGAGGCCGACATATAGAGAGAGACAGGTAGTACTGAAGGACAAAAATAGCAGGTGAGCAAATAAAAAAAGAAGAATGAACAAAACAAGAGGCAAAAAGCATTTGGTTGTTACTCATCTGTCATACATAGGAACCTTGTTATGCTGTACAATTAGTAAACACACAGGAAAGCAGATGTAATCCCCCAAAACTAGGGGGGTGGCCATTAATTGCTGATCCTGTCATTTCTGCTGAGAAATCCTGGTGGCACTGCTCCATCTAGTGGCCAGAGTCTGAAACACCATGGTTCAATTTCCAGCACCAGCTATTTCCAGACTAGAAACAGGTTGACACCAAGCTCTCAATTTTTACAGTGACAGAACAGCACAAATGGAGGCTGCAGTCAGTCATCACTCCTGCCTTCAACAGCAGTCCAAGACCTGTGAACTTTGCTGGAGGAGGCGAGCGTGCTTGGCAAGCTGGTTTCCTTGTGTTATTTCAGCACTGAATCCTCTGTTGCCTCTCTCTGAAGAGCTGTCCCTTAATCAAAACCCAGTATTGCTACAGCTGTTGGGTGCCATCAAAGCATTTCCCAGTACAGACTGTTCCTGTAAGGTTGCAAAATAAGACCAAAAGCCATAGAACCACTCCACATCTCCTTAAGTATGTGAAAGAAAAGGCAGTCCCCACTCTTCTAGGGGAAGATGGTGAAGTGGGATATTCATTTAAACAATTCATCAGTGTTCAAGACACTGAGAGAATGACAGCCTTAACTAAGGCCTGGCAGTAAGCAGAGGAATTCAGCAGGTTCAGCACAGCTATGCCAAGGCACCTCGTCCTGACCTACATGAATCCCTGCTATCCTAGTCCTGCCCTCCTCACACAGCTGGTCAATCAAATTCCAACATATGCATAAGCAGCTGCCAGTCATTCGTATGCCACAGGAAAGGAGACATTTCAAAGCTGCTGAGTCAAGGAGTGGTACCCTCTGCACTCTGATGTTATGGCTAGTTCACGGCTTGAAGGCAGAGAACAGAGCACAAAGTTGGGAGAAAACAAAACTTCAAGTTGAGGATGGAAAAAACAGCAGTGCCACCATTACTTCCCCTTGTAGCAGCTTGGCCCATGCTGAATCACTGTGCATAGGCACATAGGGTTTCAAAAAGGAGTAGCACATGTCAGAAGTGGATGAGGCTGGTCAGGCCACTTGCATAGGTCAGAGACGGGAAGTAGGGATTTTGTTGCCAGCTGAGTGCTTGATGCAATCCTGTTTCTGGTAATAGTTAAACAAAGACCTTATCCACATCCAGGACTCAGATCCAGTGAGAGCCTGATGCTTACACACAGCCATACCTGTGAGTTTCCTGCAGCTTGGTTGGGCCACAGCTGCACTTGAAATGCATGGGAAGGCCATTGTCAGGCACATATGCCAACCAGAATGTGGCATTTTCAAACAGTTTGACCCCTCCCATAGTGGCCTGCCACATTGTTAGGCACCAGTTGAAATGCACTTGGGATAAATCAGTTTGCAAGGAACAGCCTCATTAGCTCTGTAATTAATGCAACAGTTGGCCTTGCCTCTAACCTAACAGTGGGGCAGTCCAGGGATTTTCCTCTCTGTCATTGTGGCAAGACCCAACACCTGCTCTCAGGATAAGGGGACTGGAGAACTGGTCAGTCAACTGGAGCCTTGGCTGGTTGAAGTCTCCTTAGTGCTCACCTTGGTCAACACTGCCACGTAGCGCTTCAGGGCCTCCAGCTGCTCTCCCTCCAGGATGGAGAACTTGGCTGTCTCTACCCTCAGGGAGTGGTGCAGTGCAGATTCCAGGTCAGCCATGTACAGCTTGGAGCTGAAGAGAAAAAAATGGAGCACTGACAGCCTGGTGGGTCTGTCCACATTGAGAAGGTAACTCCCTTCATGCTCCTCATGTTAGTCATGATGCAGCCTCTTAATGAACTCAGGCTGCATAAGGGAAGAAATTTGGACAGATAGAAGAACAAGAGAAAGCATTTCTTACTTGTCAGCATGCTTCCAATGGGTTGTTTCTGTTGGGTGCTCTGCACCTGGCACCCTTGAAGGAGGAGGTGTTGTTATATTCTGGGCTTTTAATATTAGAGTTTTGTCATTAATACCAGATAGGCCCCTCAGAAAGGAGGTGTAGGAGGATCGTGCCTCCTCTTGCCTGTTAAAGAGGCAAAGACAAAATATGAGAGATGCCTCTGTCTCCTCCTCCCAATACCCA